AACTATTTACAAAAGTTTGGACAGCTTTAATCATATTATCCATATTTCATCCAGTTAGCATAAAGAAAAAACTGTTTATAAAGGTATGGACAGTTTGTGGGAACTAACCAGATAAGATGCAATACCCACGGATTACCAACAGAAGGTGGCAATTATTACCCATTGTGTTATCAACAGCTAGCAAAACCAGTGAGTGCTGAAGCTGTGGCTCTGTGTAGAGTTTCAGCCTCAGCCAATTTGTGGCTTGTGACATAGGATCATGGAGATTAAGTACTCTTGTTTCATTTCTGGAAGTCCTTTCCATTGGGCAAGTTCAGAGGGAAAACCTGGTCCTTAGCATTCAGCCTCTTAGAACTCAAGGTAGGATAGAGAGGGGCAAAGATGAATTTTGATGTACAAACTGAGAATGAGGGCAGGTTAATTTCATTTCTGCATCCCAGAATGTCCATGTAGTACACTGCAAATGACTATGCAGTATACATTGTCCCAGATTCCCATTTATAGGATAGGTATTTCCACCATTAATAATCTGAAATATAGTGCATTCCTCAAAATAAAATGATAAAATACTTTCATGAATTTATTTCTTAAATTTTTTGTCAGTTATGTACGTAGTATTTTGTTCAATTGAACATTCAGTAGAAGTAACTTTAGGGCTGAGGCTGTATAGTTCAGTGACAGAGTAATTGCCTAGCATGTGTGAGGCACTGGCTTTGATCCTTAGCATCACTAAAAATAAACAAAAGCATTCTATCTACAATTACCGAAGAAGAAGAAGGAGAAGGAGAAGAAGAAATTTGGGCCATTTTCAAAATGAATTTTAAAATATTTTAAAATATTCTAATCACCTATTGTCTCAAAAGAATAGGATTCTAAAAACATGATAATTATTTCAGAGTTACTATAATATTACTATAATATTTGTTGCTTAATTTAAGTGTTTATAGATGTTCCACATCTGGGACCATGGGACAAAATGAGTTAAGGATTTTTTTTCTATTTCAATAAAAAAAATGATATTGGAATTTTGATAGGGATAGTATTGAATCTGCAGATTGCTTTGAGTACTGTGGACATTTTTACAATATTAATTACTCCAATCCACGAACATGGGCTATCCTTCCATTTGTGTTTTCTTTAAATTCTTTTATCAGTGTCTTATAATTTTCAACTTACAGGTCTTTTTCCTCCTTAATTAAGTTTACATTTAAGTTTTTTTGTTTCTGTTGTGAATGGGGTTGTTTTCTTAATATCCTTTTTGGATAATTCGTTATCAGTGTGTAGAAATGCTAATGATTTTTATAGGTTGGATTTTGTACCCTGAAACTGTACTGAATTTGTTTATTAGTTTTAACAGGGTTTTTTGTTGTTTATTTGTTTGTTTGTTTGTTTGTTTTAGTGGATCTTTAGTTTTTCTTATCATGTCAACAGTAAATAGAGACTTTTTCACTTCTTGCTTTCCTATTTGGATGAATTTTATTTCCTCCTCTTGCTATGGCTTAGATTTCTAGTACAATGTCAAAAAGAGGTGGTGAGAATGAATCTCCTTATTTTACCCTGATCTAAGAGGAAGAGCTTTCACTTCCAGCTGGGTTTGTCATATGCAGCCTTGACTATGAAGTGCATTTATTTATTTTTATGTGCTGCTGGGGTTCAAACCTAGCATCTCGCACGTGCTAGGCAAGCGTTCTGCTGCTGAGCCACAACCCCAGCACCTTACTAATTTTTTTAATATGTAAAACCATCCTTCCATCATAAGAATATGTCTCACTTTATTGTGAGCTATGATTTTTTAATCAAACTAAATCTTTTTTTTTCTTTTTTTTTTGGGGGGGGGGTAGGTGGATACATACCTTTGTTTTATTTATTTATTTTTATGTGGTGCTGAGGCTCAAACCCAGTGCCTCACATGTGATAAGTAAGGGCTCTACCACTAGCTGTAACACCAGCTCTTATCAAACTAAATATTAATTGTCCTTTTAAAATTCTTGTAATGTGATTATTATACTAAACATTTCATAATAGTTGTTTCTTTCACATTAACAAAATATATATTTTGGCTCTTGCTTGGGCTAACTATACATGTGTTTAGACATTATTTGATTATAATAACCTCTGCTAACAAAAACGAAAGTCAGATAGATCTTTCTCTCAGCTCTAGTTCTCTTAATCCCTTCACAAACAAAAGCATTGGTTTATTTACATCTTATGTTCACTAAGAATTTGAGCTATTTTAGTAGTGAATTATCAAAGTATATATGATAAATAGTGATTAACAAGTAATTAGATCAACTTTTGTATATCCTTCGTGTAAAATGGACTTGGAAAATCTCCCTACTAGAGAGATAATTGCACTTAACATGACAAAACCTGTTGTAAAGTCACTTCGCTAACAATTTGAATCCTCTTTATAACCTGTGATCTGCTCAGATACTTGGCAGCTCCTGAATTTCTGCTTATCATTGATAAGCTCTTTCTCATGATAAGCCTAAATTGGTTTCACACAATTACAGTTTGCTTCTATACCCTTTTGAAGCACCTCTCCTGTTTCACCTGAGTCTTTTCTCCCTATTAAAATATTGATATTCTCTCCCATGTCTAATGTGGTTTTGAGTCTTTTCAGCATTATCATATCTTTATTAGTGTTCCTTTTCAAACACAGTGCTCACAACTGGGCCCAGTGGCACATTCTTGTAATCCCAGCTACTCAGGAGGCTGAGGCAAGAGGATCACAAGTTCAAAGCCAGCAATTTAGCAAGATCCTATGCAACTTAGTGAGATCCTGTCTCAAAATAAAAAGGGCTGGGGATGTGGCTCAGTGGTTAAGCATGCCCTGGGTTCAATTCCCAATACCAACAAACAACAAACAAACCGTGAACTGGTTAAAACCAAAGACATTCTTTCTGAATTCAATAAAAATGTCCATATATTGGAGATATATAGCACCTTCTGTTTGCACTGTCCTTCACTGGGAAATTGCAAATAAATAAACAATTCTTGAGGAGCTCACAACCTAGTGGGGGAATAGATGCGCAGAAAACATTTCGKCATGGTAATTGGTATAAGGGAATAGAAGTAGGTTAGAATAGAAGTACAGTGGAAAGTTTCTGTGCCCTTCAGGCAGAGACTTCCTTCCAGGTTACAGCTGTCCTTTTAGTCAAAAAGTGAAAAACCACCTAACACCTATTTTCTGTTTCCCCTCTTGTTCACAAGGGCTGGCATAAGACCCTGGCATCTGCCTGCTGAAATCAGCCCATWTTCTTTTTACCACATTTCTCTAGTCCACCAGCCTATTACCCTGCAGAAGAAAAGAAAGGAAGGAAGTTATTATTAGCCTGACTTTAAATGTAATTTTARTTGTTTACATGTTTTATATTTACACACACATATTCAGGAGTATATGTGTAATAGATCTCGAACACCAGAAATAAAAAATAAAGGCAGATTTGCAAACTTTGAAATTCCTCTATTGTTATCATTGAAATTACAAGTTTGGCTTTGAGCTTTCTGATAGCCAGAGCAAAAGAGAAACATCATATAGTTCTGAGAAAGAAACTTCCTTTTCTTTCTTTTTTTTAAGAAAAAGTTTTTCTTAGAATTCTGTTTCCTAAATTTTGTTTTTGATGAAATTTTCAAAGACAGATTTAATGACAAAGACTAAGGTAACTTTACTTGAAGAAGGAAAGAAATGCAACTTTAAACAAACAAATTCACTGAGGATATGAAGTCTTTGTGCAGACCCACCTCAGCTTTCCCAGAACAGTTCTCTCTCAGCTACAGTTTGAGATATGTCAGGTTGTTTCTTCTAGTTCCCTTCAGTCTCTGGGTAGGTCAATAAATTGAACACTTACACATCCACACAACCTATGGTGAAATAAATCTAGGAAATGTGAGTTAAACAAGTGTCTTTACAGGAGGACCTCTCTTTAAAAGGCTGCGTATGTTGTAAATCTCCCAGAGGGAGTTCTCTTAACTTAAATTTGACCATAGAACCCCCTTTTTGATGGCACCATCTATTCTGTGGAGCATAAATTAGGGAACAGAGGACTGAATATTTACATATTCTTCCAACACCATCTTCAAAGAGAAGGAATATGACAGCCACCTTGAAATATATTTGTCAACCCCAGCTAAGAGTAGGTGTTGGACAATGCATTCTCTCCTCCCTCCCTCCCTCCCTCCCTCCCTCCCTCCCTCCCCCCCCCCCTCTCTCTCTCACCCACCTCAGGATGATGTTGTCTGTTTCTCCCAAGTCTTCTCATTTTCATATAATGAAACCAGAGTACTAGCCCCACACTGCCTTTTTTGAGATGAAACTATGATCAGGACAAACCAAGATCTTGTTGTCACTTGGCAGCTTGGTTAGATTTCTGGTTAGAACCCCTGTCATAGCAGTTAACTTTGCTGAATTTGTGACTAGATCAAGGTTTGCCATTACTTTGTACCTGGCCTCCATCTCACTTATAATGTCGTTATTTATAGAAGTCTAACATGTTTCTTTTTATAAAATCATTTTTTTAAAAATATGTTAAAACAAGCACTATAACAGTGATTTTTTTTTAAATAAGCTCAAGCAGGATTACATTTTTAAAATACACTAATGGAAATTAAATGTTATTAATTTAGAATCATGCAGTATTGGTTTTGGATATGCATATTATAATTATAAATTTCTTATATCTAACGTTTGTCTTCTCTTCCTTTAAATTCCTATGCATATTCCTTTGTGTTAGCATAGACAACTTCCTTATAACCTATAAAATCTATAAAATACAGGAATATTGTCAAATTGAAATGTAGTTTTGAAGCCATTTTTATTTTATTSTTCAGTTGAGTTTTTCAAGCTCTTTGCAGTTTTAAAAGGAATATTGACAACATCATATGAATTACCATTTTTCTCTTATTTCCCATGGATGGGACTACAAAGTCAGCGAACAAAATTAATTTCCTAGCTTTTGTGTGACCAGGATTTTCCACCTTCTTTGTCTTCTAAACTCTAGGTACAGGAGCTCCATGAAGAGGAGGCACAGTGGGTGAACTATGATGAGGACGAGTTGTGTGTGAAGATGCAGCTGGCCGATGGGATCTTTGAGACCTTGATCAAAGATACTATTGATGTTCTGAATCAGATCAGTGAAAAACAGGGGAGAATGCTACTTGTGTGACATCTTGCAAATAAATTGAACACTGAGTGCTAACATGAGTCCTGGGCCTTTCTGCCTCCTGATAGACACCCCATCTCCATCATAGCAAGATCGCTTCCGGACCTTGCACCTGTTCTTATGGACTGCTGTTTTAGAACTCATGAGACAATGCAGTATATCTGRTATTACAGCCTTTGCCTTTAGAGACTGTCCACTGGATTACTTGGTTATTTTTGATGGGCAGGGTCACACTCCTGATGTTGAGACACAGTATAACCCTACACTTCTTGTTAACACCCTTCCTAGATCTCAAAAGAGGGCTGAGAACACCAGAAGCACCTCTGAGCTTAGACAAGGGTGTCACTTCTTGAGTCTGAAGTCAGGCAAGCAAGATACATAGATCAATTCGTCACATTATTGTTGAAATGTAATCCTGTTCTATACCATGAAAGTCATAAATGGACATTATAGTATTAAACAGTATTAAACTCTTAACCACTTCTAAAATAGGCATGTTTAGGGTCTGCCTATTTCACATTCTGGAGTTTATTCCATTGCTTTTTGAAGACCATTTTCTTCCATTGTCGCAATTGAGCAGCACCAAGCGGACTGTGAAGTTAACAGAATAAATGGTAGCCTTGCTTTCTGAGCACCACCTAAAGAACTGTAAACCTTTGCGTTACTTATTTTTCCTGTCTGGGCATGAAAACAGAAATGCCCCACTGAAGACTGGCTCAAAGGACTTCTGCAGGGCTGGTTCCTCTGCCCCTTTTCTTACCCCTGCACTTTTCTTACTCGTCCTGAACCTCTACCAGCTGCTCCCAGWATCAGATACTCAGGACCATCTCAGGCATCCAGGCATGGCAAAAGTGGAAATAATTCATTTTGGCCTTCAAACTTTCAACTCCCATCTCTCCCCAAGAAGTCAGAGACGCTGTTACTTGAATGATTTAGGAAATGAGTGTGTGCACCAAAGACAAAAAGATATTGTCTGTAGTTTGTGTGCTTGTTTTGCTCTATGGAACTTTTTTTTAATTTATTTTAAGATAAATTATTAAGTTGAAAACGTGCGTCCCTATTCAGAAGTGAAAGATTCTTCTTGTAATAGTTAAACCTCCGTCTTGAAGCTTCTATGGTTCATAGTCTTTGCACAGGAAACCTATGGTTTTAACAAACCCAAACACACATGGAAGAGGTCAGTTAAATTCAGTGAAAAGAAGATGAGCTTTCCTAAGATCACCTTCAGTAGCCGGAATGGGATAAATGATTTAAAGACACTGTAAAATTTAATTCTGCCTCTCTTGCAGCATTGCTTCTCACAACTATTACCTGTATCTGAAACAAATCTAGACTCCAGCTGCTACATAGAGCATAGAAGATGCTCTCCTGGGACCTCAGTACCTGCCTTCCTGCCTGGTTCCTCTGAATCAATCCCCTTCCTCTTCACGTAATCTAGAAGAATGTGGATAATCTTAGGCGTGAATGTAAATGCCTTAACCTTGAAGGTCCTGATTAGAAGCATGATATAAGACATCCACTGGATTCATAGTTACAAATATCCTGGAATGTTATAGCTTCAAAATGTGTTAGAAAAACCCCAAAGATGGTATGATATTTTAAGTGTGCACGTTTATTCATTTCTGCATCTTTCCTCCACACTCRCCTTTGTGTCTTAAGTGTCTCACTATGCACACGTCCGTTCATCTTCAGTTTCACCCTGTCATTACAAGAAACTTCCTGAAGTAATCATTGGAATATTTGCATTTTGCACAATGACTGGTGTGATAGCTCTTGACAAATAAGGAAAGCACTGAAATATTGTGATTGGGCCTGGGGAAATGCTCAGATTGATGTATTAACAGCATTTCTTCTGTGCCTTTGATGTTGAGCTGTAGTCTTGTAGCCATAATGAGCAAATTGACTAAGAGAAACAAAGGTTTCTCGGGGTTATTAACCAGTAGTGTGGAAATATTATTTTCATGTGGCCAAGGAAAAGCAAAGACATTTCTTTCCACTTTGGTTACTTGGTGGCAAAAACATCATATCAGCATCCTTTGGCTGTTTGTAGGATCACATTGTCCTTATAATACTGAAATTTTACAGCTGCTGTAAATTTTTTATAAATGAATATCAAAGTACTATAATAGGAATCTAGTTGTTTTTCTACATCTTCATTATTTGGACTTAAAGTCAGTTTTTAATAAGAAAATTTATCTTTACTCTTTATGACATTATGACTCCAGGAAAGGAAAAGAGTGCTGCTGTAAGTTCATGGCGGCAGGGATCTGGACTCGGAGCCCCGGAGGAAAGGCTGCCAAGAATACAGCAGTGGCGTCCTGCTCTCTGCCAGCTGTCTCTGCCACCCAGAGTCCAGGGGTCCAGAGAGGGGCAGGAGAGTCTTACTCGTTGATAGAAATGATCATCCATAGTTTGGGAGCAGAAACAAAGGAATTTATAATTAACAGATTTCTGATTATTTTAACTACTTGGATCTAATTGAAGTAGGTTTATCGTTAGGAATGGTAAACATGGATACCCAGCCACTCATTCCGCACTGGGATCTTTTTAATCAAACTCTGCCTCTTAACCAAGAACCTAAAGAGTCCCTCTTTCTAATCTTTGCTCCTTATCCCCACACCCCATCCTCTTTTCAGTCTTCATAATTCCTCTAAGAAAAAGATCTTTGCATCAGCAGTAATATCTTTTAGAATAGCACTATCAGAATTTAGTAGTAAACCAACATGTAGGCTTCAGATTTACTTCTGAGTCCAAAACAATTTGTGCTCTCCAGAGCAGTTGACTCTGGGTTAAATAAGTACAGGGTATAGATTCCCTCTTCAGGTCTAAACAGGAATTTTTACGCTAGGGAAAGTGGGAAGAGCTCAAAAGTAGTTAATAAGGAAGGTAATTTGTTTTTCTTTTTCCTAAAAGAAAAGAAAATTCCTTCTGTGACTACAGATCTCTGAGAAATTATCTTTCAAAAGAGATTTCGTTGCTCATCAGAGTGTTGTGGCCTATTGATAAAAAATAACAATTTTGTTCACTTTCTTGTCTTGAAAAAAAGTGGCCTTAGCTTTTTGCAATACTTGAATAAAGTGTGTACTCGCAAAAGAATTTCTGTAGCACAGCGTTAGAGACTCATAACTTTTCTGCAAGAAATTCAAACTTACATCTTCCTTTTACTACCTTAAAAATRCTAGTGAATAAAACATTAATTCAAAGAGCAAGCGATAGAAACTACAATGATGTTTAATGCAAATTGTAGGAATTTACATGTTTACAAACCATCTTAAACTGGTTGTGCAGCAATTCAATAAAATATCTTTGTATTATAAAAATGTGAAGAAAAAATGTAAACTGATGTAAAGGAGGTACTGTCATTTTAATTAACCTATGTTTAATAGCTTTTCCTTCTGGACTTTGCAAAGCCTTCTTGGTAAACACATTGCAAAGCATYTTCTGGGAGGCTTGGCCTCCTTGTGTGTACTGTACTGTGCAGACATGAAAAATAAACCCGTTTACTGTGTACGTGTAAATCGCCTGTCATCAGGCATTTCCAGCCAATAGTCACATCCAGTGCAGCTCTGCACAGAAGACTTGGGGTGTGGTTTGTAAGTATGACCTGTAAAATAACTGGGACAAATTCCCATGTAAACCTGTGTAAATAGATTTGTTAACTAAAATGTACTTTAAGAAAAGAAAATCTGTAAATAAACTGATTTATAAGTTAGTTTCATGTCAGGTGTCCATTTTTCCACTCAGAAGCCAGATTCAGAAAAGGAGTTCTCAGACTATTCAGTTCTTGCTTATTTCTCATTGGGTTGCAGGGCACTCAGGCTCGGGCAATAAGATTGGGTAAGCTATTCATGCTTTGTACATGGCACCATCAYAAATCTCAGGGGACTTTGGAAAATGATCACTTATTCCACAGATTGCCATTTTGCACCATTTTGGTATTCTTGGCCCTGTGTTTGCTGAGTGCTAGGTAGATTGCAAAGGGGACAGGCATGGATGGTCCTTGATTTCATGGAGCTTGGAGTCTGTTGAAAGAAAATCATTGAAAAATAAAAGAGGCTGGAGGTATAGCTCAGTGGTGTTTGCCTCCCATGTGTGAGGCCCTGGGTTCTATCCCAAGCCTTGCAAAATATRAAAATAATTTGAAAAACAGTGCATGACGACTGTAACAAGTGCTGCAAAGGAAGCAAACACAGAGTTGGAGAATAGCTTCTGAAAGGGTAGGAGACAGTTCTCTGGTAACTTACAACTTTGTGTTTGTTTTTTTGAGATGGARTTTCTCTGTGTTGTTCCGCTTGCCTTGAATCTAGTTCATTTGATCCTGCCTCAGCCTCTCAACTAGCTGAGGCGTGCCCCACTGTACCCAGTTTATTAACTTTGTTTTGAACATTAATGGGCTTTTTCTAATTCATGGCAAATGCCATTTCTCACAGAGACTTGAATTTTATTCACCCTTCCAAAATAACGTGTGGAAAAGTCCTGCACAATTAAGTGGGCCACAAAGAAGAGCAGCCAACTGATGACTAGGTGGTGGAGGGTATAATTTATTTCTGGAAATAAAAGCCTGGAGGAGAATGGAGGCAGGTGTGTAGAAGAATGAAAGACAGAAATGTGCAAAACAATGTATCATCTCTGATCCAATAGATTACAAGAAGCAAACCACACTTTAGCCTAAATTCTAGATGTCTCCTGATGGTCATGCTGGTACACCTGTAACCCTTACCCRACTGTGCACAGTAAGGAAATTTTCAGAAAACCATTAACCCCAAATGGTAGCAGATTCTAATTCTCCAACTCAGAACAGATGTTTCTACTATGTGCCAGATGCTGTGGCTGGTGTTAAGGCCACAATAGTAATGATCAAATCTTGAAAAAAGATACCTGTAATCTTTAATCAAAGTATATGAAAGTGGTAAATAGGAGGCTGGCAATTGACATAACAGACAAGAATGGTGATGTCATTGGAGAACAGGTGTCTCCTTGACATAACAGATGAGAATGGTGATGTCATGGGAGAACAGGGTCCCCAGAGCAGAGTCCATGGAGCTCCTGGAAGAGGATTTCAACTTAAGACCATCAGGTTMTTGGCTTACCTGAAGGAAAGGAACCTTAGCACAGGGCATTCAGAGGCATAGAAACAGGTTTATTTAGAAGATTAGATACACATGCAAGGGAGAATGTGAGCCATCTCAAGGGTGAGAGGTGTTTTGGGGGTTTCCAGTTTTGTTTGTTTTTTGGGGTTTTTTTTGTTGTTGTTGTTGTTGTTTTGTTTGGTACCAGGGATTGAACCGAGCTTTTTTTTTTTAAGGAGTTGGTGAGGCATGGGTATAGGGAGGTATATAGGAATATCAGTCTGTTGATCTCAAGATGACTGTGGCTGGTCAGTCTCAGGATCCTCAGGCAGATGTGGTCCTTATTATCTGATCAGTCCCCTAAAGTATGGGTTTCTCAAAATATCTCTCATAGCCAGGCATGCTGGTGCACACCTGTAGTCCCAGTGACTCACAGAGGCCTGATCAAGAGGATTGCAAATTCAAKGCAGTCTGGGAAAGTTGCAAGATCCTGTCTCAAAGGGTTCAGTCCACAGTATCTATCTATGTAGAGAGAGAGCTAGAGAGAGTTTGTATCTCTCCTTACTTGTTGGGGGCTTGATTAAAAGTGCTCAGGATGGGTTTACAGGTTTCCCAGGAATTTGAGAGTGGCCTTAGGAAGTGAAGAGCCTGGAAAAGTTGGCAGAACTTGTGAATTAATATTTATTTTKTAGTTTTAAGTGGACACAATATCTTTATTTTTATGCRGTGCTGAGGATCAAACCCAGTGCCTCACCCATGCTAGGCAAGTACTCTACCACTGAGCCACAACACCAGCCCCTGCCTGTTTTTTAAATTTCTTCTCTCCTACCTCAGGAGACTGACATTAGTGAGAACTACATGGTGAATGCTGAGGAGAAACAAGCCAGTGCCCTACGGAAGCCTAGGAGAGCTCAGAAATTGGAGGCACTGGCCACACAGAAAAAGTCCAAAGCATGGAGGTTGGTTCACCATGCCTTGGGTGGCCTGGTGTGCAGCCAAGTGAACAGGCAGGTGAGCACTTCCCAGGGAAGAGTCCAGTGTATGACTCAAGRTTGCCCAGAACAGAAATTCATGCCAGGCTTAAGTGGCATGGTGAGTATTACAGCCAGAGGGGAGAGAGCACATTAGATCCCACCCCTCGCATTCCCTCAGTCTCCCATGGCCAACAGCTCCACTCCACGCACAGCAAAACCACGGGGCTGGCAGCGCCCCACTGGTGCCACCATGGAAGGACGCTCCTCCTCTGGAAGACAGAAGAGCAGGGCCAGACTGAGGCCACTGATGTGTGAGAGTCTGAAACAGGGAAACTAGTCCTCAGGAGACATGCCCAGCACAGGTGGTAGGACTCTGGATAAGGAGAATTCCAGACCCCAGGCCTGTCCTGACGTGCAGGGCAGGAAGCTGTATGTGATTGTCTTTCCCATGTGTACATGCACACACACTAGGATGGCTCATAGAGCACATCAAATCCAGGAGGACAATCTTTCACCCCGAGTATGGAGGCACAGCCTGGTCTGAAGGAGCCTGAAAAACTTGTGTGACTGTAGTTTGGTGATAGGGCCTACCTGTCGTTTTAAGATAGCATTTTACCAGTGTCACTAGGAGAACCAGATGCAGGAGGATGATCAGAAGATAGCCTCCCACATACCTGGATTAAGCCAACCAAAGAGGTCAAAAAGTGAGTCTGGGGACCTGGCAGGTGTACAGCTGATAGCCTCCCCCTAGTGAGGCCTTCTCCAGCTCCACTTCCACTCTCCCTGCACTGCCGACACACGCACAGCAACAGCTGTTCTGCCAGCAGAGGAGTGAGGGCCATTCTGCTGTCCATCACCACCTTGTCCAGTGAGTTAGTCTTTCTGGTCTGGAGGAAATTCCAAGTCAACGACTCCTGGCCAGGCCACGAGAATGGGAGTGTGGGATGCAAGGGACTTCATCCTGGGATGACAAAGCCAGCATTGTTCGAGTTGACCTCCTGTCACCGCAGCTGTGCTAGTTCTTATCAGGGTGTTGTCATGCCAGGCACGGTGTGTCATGCCAGGCTCTGCAGAGTGAGGAAAAGGTAACATTCCCACCAGCCTCCCTCACCACAGACCTCCCAGACAAAGATGCTCTTGTCCGATATTTCCTTGGGAGTCCACTGCACCATTGTCAGTCCCTGTCATCCCTCCCGAATAGGAAAGCCACACCTGGAATGAGCTTGACATATCCATAGTGTTATCCACAGTGTTAAGGAGTCAGGGGTCCTGAGCATGACCAGTGGAACACTGTGCACCAATGTTCTGTCAGTCTTTCCCCACTYTTTTTGGGTCCTCCAGGAGGGAGACGCCTCAAGATGGCATTGGAAGGACCCTCTGGTGACACAGCTGCAGCCCCAACCCTAACTCCCTGGGGAAGTGCATTAGACTGRGAGAGAAAAAAATAAAAAGACAGTCTGGGTGTACTGAGGGTGGGATTCTGGGTGCAGCCTGGTTGGGCAACCCCCTGACCTTCACCCACTCCAAGTTCAAAGCGTGTTCACAGTCTGGCATTTCTCTCCTGCTGGAGTGTGATGGCTGGTGTCTAAAGTCTGTGTGGCTTAGTTAGGGAGTACCTCGGTAGGTTGGGGTTTCTTGATGGTCTTTGTATAGTTGTTGGTTTCACTGTTTTATCACCCTGTTTATCGGTGTGGGGGTGCAACTTGAAAGTTTAATCTTACGGGACAGGAGCTCATCTGTCATGGTATTGCTTGGGCTGTGAATGTGGTGTCTTCTCAGATTGGAATCCTTCTGGATATCTGAACAAGGAGTCTTTTTTTTTTTTTTTTAGCTACAGTGGTCATCTCTGCCCCAATGACCCACTGGAATGGCAGTCTCATACTGCAATACAAGGCCCCTTCGAAGAGGCACCACTGCACACGGTGACCGGGACCAGCAGTCTGACAGGGCCAGACTGTCTGTACGGTATGGCCTGCACACGTTGGCAGGAGTCTCCCAACTGTGCTGTATCAAGGGCTTTAGTGTTTTCTAGGGGGAGTCCTTGTGATTTGGACCATTTCTGTATCTGAGGGGGACTTACATGCTCTGTTTTGTGATGGGCCCAACAGGTAATCACAGCAATTTGCTGAGCACAAGTTAGGTTAGCTCTTCAATTTGTCTTTTTAAATAACTCCTTATTACAGGTGTAATGTGAGTAATGAATACGTTTGGTTTGGTTGGKTTTKTTTTGTTTTGTTTTGTTTTGTTTTTTAGTCCACAAGCTATTGTTACAGGCCCTGTCCCCATTCAGGGGAGCCTTTAGTGGTTCAGTTTTTAATTTGCCAGGTACTAGACCGTATAGCTAGCCCAGTTCTAACAGCTCACACCTATAGTTATATAGCAGACTGTGGCTGTTAGAGTGGCCTGTGTCCCTGATGGTTACACATGGAGTTTRGCCCACTGGCCAATGTTCTCAGTCTTGGTTAAATGATGGCCATTTGGGGTGGATGGCTGCAGCAGCCCAGTAGTTCTTACCAGCTTTGAGATTCAAGGACCCCTCTAGGGACCAAGCTGTACCATCAGCTGGGAAGTCTTTGAACCAGGRGCGCTACTTGATTACCAGAGAGGTGTCAACCTGTCTTGGTGGAGGCTGTTTAGCCTCCCCCAGTAAAGCAGTTCCTGTGGTATGG